TATAGGGACATTCGAAATTCAAAAATAGAATACCTAAATTAAACTTATAAATACTGCCAAACTATCATGGAAAAAATAATTAATCATTAAATAATTATTTATTAGAAGCTTATATAAAAAACAATAAAAATGCTTAACTTAAATAATGAAAAAATCATACATTTATATGTAAAAAAGTTTGATTTTGTTTGATTTTAATAAATAAAAATAATAATAATTATTCCTTGTTTTTAATAAAGACTATATATGCATATATATGTATTAATTATTATATTAATCTATTCATTAACCTTCTTTATTTTTTAAACTCTTTCTTTTAAAAACTAAACAGCATTAAAAATGGTCTAAGAGAAAATAAATAAATAATTTAAATTATTTAAAATACATTTTTAGCCATAGTAAGTCCTTTAATAGCATTCGAATTTTAAATTTCTCTTAATTTGCTTTAAAACACAGGCCCATGGTATTTTTCATCAGCTTCTTCAATTTTTAACATAGTAAATTCAGAAGTAGTACTATATACTTTTTTAGTAATTTTAACAGTTTTTTAAAAGACACTATTAATATAATCTTTAACATTATCGATATTTTTATTTTCTTTTTAAATATTATAAATTTTATTCTATTTAATTTTTCAATACTTGAAAAAGAGAAAAAAAAATAAGAATTCATAAATAAAAATAATAAAACCTGTATTTGAAAATTATTCTAATTCTTAATCTCCTTTATTTTTATAATTTTAAATAAACGATTCTCCTTCATTATCTACATATAATTTCAACTTTAAACATTTTATAAAATTAAATATAAAAAATTATATATATATATATATATATATATATATATATACTATTATATATATATATATATATATATATATATATATATATATATATATATATATACATATTCGCGATATTATATGGCTTCTTCAGTTTAATATATAAATTACAAAGGTGATTTCGGAGGAGTTTTTACATTTTTTAAAGCTTTTTTTAATTTATTATTTCCGCCAAAAACTAAATAATTTATTTATTTTTAAGACCATGTTTCACTTTCTAAAGGCTTTATATATGATAATTATACTCCGAATGTTTAGTGCATTTATGCGCATTATTCGCATAAGAAAATACCATTATTTATTGAAACATAATTATTTTGATCTTGTTTATCGCATTCAAAACATGTATTATTAAGTTCTATTAATTTTTATAATGTTTCTTGATATTTTTTCATTTCTTTTATTTTATTTTAATATTTTAAATTTAATAGAATAATGTAGATATATATATATATATATATATATATATATATATATTTATATATATATATATTTTTATATATTTAAATGATTTATTTTATTTTTTTATATGATTTTTATTATAAATTGAAAATATTTATATTATAATTATATCTTTTATTTAAAAATTAAAAAAAGATATATATAAAAAAATATATATTTAATATTATATAGTTTAATTTTTTATAAGAAAAATATTATATGATTTCTTACATAAATGATAGAAGAAGTATTAAAAAAAAAGAAAAAAAAAGAAGCTTTTTATTATTTATTTTATTAATAGAAATCGGTTTAGTAATATTTTTTTTAGCATTATTTTTTTATATTTTGGGAGTATTCTTATTGTTCAATAGAATGTCATTTTTATTAGCAAATGTATATAAATAATAAAATAAAAAAAATTAAAAACTTTTTTAAGTAAAATAAAAGATTTTATTTTTATTAGGAATGTATTTAATAGTTGGTTTCTCATAAACCCTTTCATTTTTTAGCAAAAAAAGTAAATAATAAAAAATATATTAAATATATGATTTTAAAAATATAATATTTAAAAGGTAATTTTAGAGCATCGATTATTTATTTTACAGGCTTTTTGATTATTTTATATAGATTATCGTTTGTAGGATTTTGTGTTTAATTATATGGATTATTTTTATTATTTAGAACTTTCCTTCCCTTATTATATGATCCATTATGCAGATTACCAATGATAGGAAAATATTTGAGTATTATATATTAATAATATATATATATATTTTATAATTAAAAAAAAAAAAAGAAAATAATAAATTCAGAAATACATTAGATAATATTGCTGGGACAGGTCCTTAAGTTTGATTTTTTATTAAAAAACAAATATCCGATTTTTATTATTTAAGAAAAAAAAAATATAAAATAAATATTATATATATATATATATATATATAAATATTAAGATTTTATATATTTTTTATTTATTTTTATTTAATTTTTTTCAATATTTTATGTATTTTTTAGTATATTAATTTCATTTTTAATATAAAAAGTTTTTTTTTAATTTTTATATTTTTTTTTTATTTTCATTTTAAATTATTATTTTATAAAGCCTTTTATAATTCTTTATATCCTTTTTAAATAAAATAAAAAACTGTTTCTTCATCAGTCTCAACATCATCATCTTAGATTAAATCAATTTATTTTTATTAATTTTAAGATAACTCTTATTCTTAGTCTTTAGTTTCTATATATAGAGGAAATTCATAGTGTTTTGTTTTGCTATTTTATAAACTAATAAATCTAATATTATCATTGATATTTATTTTTTGAATTGTATATTTTTATTTCTTTTTGATTGTGAATTATTTAATTTAAATTTATGTGTTGAATTCAATTTTAATAGAATTCATTTTTTTATTCTTTTTTTAATTTTCTTTTTTTTGAATATAAATTTTTCTTTTTTTAAATTTTTTATTATTTAATTTCAAGCTAAATTTTTTAATAAGCTTAAAAATACTAAAAAAAAAAAATTTAATAAAAATTATATAAACAGTATAATTATTAAGAATAAATATATTGTTTTTAAATTATATTAAATTTATTATATTTTGACAAAATAAATTTAATTAAAATATAAGCTTTTTAATATTATTCACAAAAAAAATAAAATAAAATGTAACATAAATCATTGCCATAAAGTCCAGTTTCAAACAATTTAAAAAAATTTCAAAGTGATATTATATTTATTTGAATCATATTAATATAATAAAAGATGACATAAAATAAAAATATTTAGAATAATTTTAAATATAATAATCTCTAAATTAAAATAGTATAAAAGCAGTTAGATAAATAATAGGTCAATCATTAAATTAAGACTAATACAAAATTTAATAAATGAATATATAAATAGTGTAGTTAATATTTAATTATTATATTATTAAATTTTCTATAAATAGTAATTTAAATGAAAAAATATAAGAATTAACAAACGATAATATAAATTTAACTGAATATATAAAGTATTAATATTTTATTTTATTATTTAAAGCAAATAAAAAGAACTTTAAAAGAGGAAAACTAATCTTATTAAAAATAATTTTCAATTTAAAGTATCTAAAATTTTATTAATATAAATAATTATTTTAAAAGATTAGTTAAATTTAAAAAAATAATAATATAATTAAGCTGATAATAATAATATATAAAAAATAATGGAATTAGAATAATAAAATTAGAGTCTATAAAATTAAATTGAAACTATAATTCAAGATAATTATGCTTTAGTTAATAAAATATAAAACAATAATTAAGAAAAAACAGAATTTTAATAAAGTTATTTTAATCAAATTAATAGCTTGAAAAAACAAATAAATTAAAAAAACGAATAAATAATGAAAATAGAGTATATTTTCATATTTTCATATTATTTTTATTATTTTTTTTTTTTCTATATATATTTAGATAAACACATAAATAATAATTTTAAATAGAAATTTCAAATTTCTAATAATTAATATAGTAAAATTAATATAAAATATTTTATTTAATTTTTTTTTATCCTTTTTTATTTAGAAATTTAGAAGGATTAATTGTTGAATTAAGAAATAAAATAAATTTATAATATTAGATTTTAGGAGAAAAAGAATTATAAATTAAATAATTATAATAGAACTTGAAAAAGTTAATGGAAGATAAAATAAAAAATTAAATAATTAATTAGGATTATAAAGTATAAATAAAAAAACGTTCTGAAGATAATATTTCAAGTAAATAAGCTTTTAAGTAAATTTTTTATATCATTAATATTTTTATTAAATAAATTAAATAGGCAATTATGAAAAATCACAATTTATAGAAAAAATATAAAAAAATGAAAAATTTAAATTATTGTAAATATTAGTTTATTCTAATATTCATAATTGAAATAAAATGTTTAAAAAAAATACATAAATATAAATATAATTATATATGTATATATAAAGATATTTATATAAATAAATAAATTTTATATATATTATAAATGTATATTTAATCTTAATAATTTTATATTTTAAATTAAATATTTATATTTTATATATTTACTTCGATATTGTATTTAATTAAATAATATTAATCGGTATTAAATGTATTTTTTTTTTATTTTTAAAGCTTTTTTTATAAATAAAACATTATTAAATTTTTATTTAAATAATATATTAATAAATGTTCTTATATATTAATAAATATTAATAAAAGAAAATATTACAATATATTTTTATATTTTCATTATTTTTTTATTTTTATCATATTTATTTAATTAATAATTAAAATATTTATAGTCTTATTTTAATTTTGACAGTAACTGTTTTAATCACAACATAATTTAAAACACGTTTTTTTATAACTATATAATTGTCGAATTCTTTTACTTTAAATTTTATTATAAGTATAAGTTGAATTAATTTTAAATATAAAAATAATTACATAATTTATTATTTATTTATATATATTATTAATTTATTACTATATTTTAATAATTTTTTAAAAGATTAAAAAAAAAAAAAAAAATTAAATAAAATTACATTACATTTTTTGAAACATTTTTATTAAACCTAATTTAATAAATATATATTTTTAAAAAAAATATTTTTTTTTTTAATATTTTCCTTAAATAAAAAAAACAATGGACCAATTTTAAGAAGAAACCCAAAAAACAAAGCCTCCAAAAAAGCAATTTATCGTCCGTAAGAAAATTGAAGACGATATAAAGAATTCCAAGCAATATTTCCAAAATAATCCCAACTTAAAACTATATTAACCCCAACCAATGAAGGCTTCTTTTAAATCTAACATCCGTAAATCATCGATTTCTTAATAAAAGCCTACAATAATCAACCTCCCAAACATCTAAGGCCTTCCCCAAAACGAAAATAAGCATCGTGAAACCACCATATACTCATAAAAGACTATAAAATCCCAAGAACAACCTGAAGACTACAAAAATATGCCAAATTAAGAAGAATATATACCACAAGTATAAGGTCCTTAGATCGAAATGGACCAATATGATGTTAGTTTTATCATTAATACAGGTTTAGTGGCTTTCGATAGTGTTTAAGTGAGAAACATAGGGACTGCATCTATATATTATGAATGGAAAAGAATAGAAAATGAGAAATAACATAGTGTAAGTTTACAAGATCCGGAATAGAAATTTTTCTGTCATCATGAATAAAATGTCATAAAGCCTGGATAGTAGAAAAAGTTTATTTTTTCCTTTATGTCGAAATTAACGGGGACTTTTTACGAAGAATGGGAATTTAAATGTGAACCACCTAATTAAAATTAGGTTAAAAATTTAAAATTGTCCGGACACTCAATTGACGTTGATAATTTGAAAAACTGGAGGGGAAATTTCGATGAAAATAACTATAAATAATTCCTATATAAGAGTATGGGGGAAGTAATTGAAGATATTCTAGGTAATGTGAGGACTCCGACACCCCCTCTACCCGATCTGAAAAACGAGGAAGTGCGAAGAATAGAGTTTGAAGCAAAAAATGAATATTACAATCTTTTTTATAATGATTTAGTGATGAAATGGTGGTTTTAGTTAGAAAATGATATATATGAGAAGCTTAAATTGAATAAATAAGAGTAGTATTGGGACCTTAACGTGGATTATATAAGGAGAATTATTGAGAAGGTAGAAGATGAGGATGATAGGGCTTTTTTTATGAAAAGATTTAATAATTATTTCGAGTTGAATAGAAAAAAACCAATCGAAAGATCAGAAATCTACCCTTTAGTTCGTGAAAAAATGAACAATATTATTAATAATATTGCAGTGTTTTCAGACAAAAGTCGAGAGGAATTATAAATGTGGGACTTTATTTTTAGAATTCCTTAAGAAAACTAATCTTTTTTTTCGGAAGATGAACTGAAAAAGCACGAAGAGGAAAACTAGAAACTGAAATAAGACTGGATGAAAAAAACGAAGAAAAAAAAATGGACTGATGAAGATGAAAAAAAATAAACGAAGATTATAAAAATGCCTTTTATGGAAAAATTTAAAATGAAATTTATACTTTTTGGGACTCCTTTGAGGAAAAAGAGTTGTTTTTGAGAATTTACTAAAAAATGGATTAATAAAAAGGAGATTTAGGAGGGTTTTTTGAATCTTTATTAAGAAAATAATCCGTTAAAGATCTTGAATTAGAAGGTAAAAGAGTACTTTTAAAGGTTACTTTGAAAATAAAAGACACTATAGAGGCTTTGGAGTCAAAAAGAAAACACGAAAATAGAATTTTAAAGGAAAAGAAGAAGAAGAACTGCGAAAAATAGAAGAAGAAAAGGCTTTATAGGAAAAGCTTTTGAAGGAGAAAAAGAAAATGGGTAAGAAAGTAATACCTAAAGGTAAAAATATACCAGAAGAAGTTAAAATAGAGGAAAAAAATTATGATATTTCATTTTTAGATGAAGATTGTGTATAAGAAATCATCGAATAATTAAAATTTTTAATCGAAAAATAAACGAAACTAGTCATTTTAATTATACACTATGATATTCCGTTAGGAGAGTATAAATTGACATCTTCAGTGAAGTTTTTTTTTGAATATTTAAAGAAATAAATGGAAAGTACCCAAATTTCTTTCAATGAAAATAGTACTTTGATTGAAAATTTCGATGAAAAAATAGAAACCGAATTTTTTCCAGAAAACTCAATTTTGGTATTGGAAAATGCTTTTTTTTAGCCCGAAGAAATCCAATTTAAATTCGATGAAAATAACGCACTTGTTAAATATAATTTAGATGACATTTAATAGTATGTTAATGCCCTTTCAATGTATTGTCCAGTCTTTGTACTAGATGATAAGGACAATTTATTCTCGAGATATTCGTCTGTGATAAGGATTAAGGCTGAAAATAATGTCTTAGGGCTCAATCTGGCTAATTATATTCATTAAATAGGACATTTAGTTAGTTTTGAGAAGAAACCGTTCATAATGTTTGTTGGAGGAGGATTATCTGCTGAAAAAATTTAAGGTTTGGATGTACTTTTAGAGTTTGTGGATGAATTACATTTATATGGGGAAATTGGAATGATGTTTTATATTGTATAGAAGTTAGATATTGAAAAAATAAAGCTTAGTTTTTTATAACAATGGAAAATAAATAGTCTAGAAAGAAATATTATAAAAAATATTTTATTAAAAAAAAAAGAGAAAATATATCTTCCAGTAGATTTTTGTATTATATAAGACTTAAATATAGAAGGAATAGAGAAATACTCACATTCCTGGTTTTAAAAAGCTTAAGAAACCATCTAAAATTTCCCTCCGAGAATTTTAAAAGAAAAATAGCAGCAAGAATAAATATAAGAAACAGATGATAAAAATACTAAATAAATAGGAGAAAATAGTCAATTAATAGGAGATAATAGTCAATTAATAGGAGAAAATAATCCATAAATAGAATAAAATAGTCCATAAATTGGAGATAATGACGAATAAAATAATATACAATAGGAAGAAGAGGAAGAATATGAAGAAGAATATGACGAAAATAACCCTTCTTAGAAAAAAAACTCTTTTAAAAATAAAAACTATAATGAAATTATTGAAGATAATACTATAGAGGAATCATTTGAGTATAATTATGAAGCTTAATTCCCTGAAAATTATTTAATTGTCGATTTGGGAGAATAAAGTTTGCAAAAATATCAGAATAAGTACCCGAAAAGGAAGAAAAATAGGATGGATAGACAGTCTGAGTATTTTTTAGGGAAATAATGCATTTTTTGAAGGGAATAAAAATGTTTCTAAGTGTCTATTTAAAATGCAGTAGGATAAAAAAAAAAGACTGGAAGAATTAGTCAAAAATAATAATGATTATAATTATATTAACGATGTTTTAGTATTCAGTTTTGGGAAAGAACTAGAATAAGAATTAAATTTCTTTGAATTAATTGAGAAGTAATAAAATTTTGAAAATAATGGAGAAAATAACACAGAAAATTCAGAAAATAATGAACATAATTCCGAAAATATATAAGAAAATTCAGAAAATATAGAAAATGAGGAAAATAATACAACTTTAAAAACAAAAATAAATAATATTAAGGAAATTTCAGATTTCTATTTAAAGGATAGTCTTTTTGCACTTAAAATTTTAAGTGGAAATTATATTGAAAGTTTATAAAATATAGAAACTTATAATAAAAAAACTGAATCTAATTTAGAGGATGAATTATCATTTTTAGATTGAAATTATTTTATCGTTTTTCTATATATATAAATAAAACTATTATTCATTTTTTTTTTAATATAATTTAATCATTTTTATCTAAATAATTAAATGTTTCTTATCTTTAAGCTGTATTATTTTATATAAATGGATGTTAATAAGCTGTATTTAAATCCATTCTTTTATTAGGATCTTTTACCAGTATTTTTTTTATAAAATCAACCCCTTCAAATGATATAGGACCTGAAAACTTTAAATCTCCCTATATATAAAAAAATAATAATATATTTATATTAGATATAAATATATTAATATTTACCTTAACAACTTTATCAAATGTGGCATCATGATTTTTCCCTGTAAAAGGAGCGTTTCCAAAAATCAGTTCATATACAAGAATTCCTACACTCCAAATATCTACTGAAAAATCGTATTATTTGCCTTCTACCATTTCTGGGCTTACATAATCTAAAGTTCCGCAAAATGTTTATCTCATTTTATCTTTTTCCACAAAAGTAGCATAACCAAAATCACATATCTTAAGTATTCCCTTATAAAATTAAATAATATTATATATATATATATATATATATATATATATATATATATATATATATATATTTTTGAAATTATTTTTATTATTACATTATTTAATATAATGTTCTCAGGCTTAATATCTCTATGTACAATTCCTCTTGCATGCATATATAATAAACCTTCAATTACTTATCTTACATATAAAGAAGCCTTCGTTTCGTTATATCTTTTATATGGTTATTATTTTAAATCAGCAAACAATTCACATCCACAAGCTAATTCTTAGATTAAATATAAACTATCGTTTTCATAAAAATAACCATATAAACTAACTATATTAGGATGAGATAGCATATATTAAGTTTTTATTTCATTTAATATATCTTAGGTTAGTTTATATTCTATTATAGTAGATTTTTTTATTTATTTAATTGCAACTCTAAATCCTGTTTATTTATCGCTATAAATATTAGTATAATTAAATTATGTTTTTTTTTAAAAAAAAAATATATATATAAATATATATATTATATATATATATATATATATATATATTATATATATATATATATAATTATAAATTTTATACACTGCTGAGTATACATCAGAAAATTTACCACTTCCTAATTTTTTACCTAACTTAAAATTTTAAATTGAATTTTTTTTATTGAAACTATTATCTTATAAAGAAATTTAAATACTCTATGTTATTAGTCCATTAGGCTCAAAATATACTTAATTATCAATATTTGGATTATTTTTTTCCGTTATAATTTATTTAGCAAAAATATCTAAATTACTCATATTTTTACCTTCGTTTTTAACACTTTTAGGCCCCTAACTTACCCTTCCACTATAAGCTGGGGAATTCTACGTATTTTTCTATAAATATGCTACATTATTCTATTCTAAATTAGGAATTTTATTCTTCAAATCAGTAACTTATTATTAAAAGTTATCTTTTATAATTAAATTATCAAAAGATTTATTAGAATTAGTATTCGAAATTAAATCTTAATAGGGTTTTTTTCTTTTCGCAGATTCCATTATCGATTCAATTTATAAATTTTAATCACTCTCATTTGAATATTTCTAAATATTTTTTGGTGTATTAACTTTTTAATTTACATTTTAAGTATTTTCAAAAGAAATAATATTTTTAGGATTTTAAAAAGAAGATGTATTTTTTTAACTTTCATTATCTAAAGGAATTTTTTACATATAATGATCTTTTTTTCTTTAAATTAGTCTTTTTTTTCTTAAAATTATTCTTTTATTTCTTTAAATTATTCTTTTTTTCTTAAAATAATAAACAGTTTTTCTCATCTTTTATCTCGTCCTTTATATTGTTTTTTTTCACATCTTTTTCTCTTCTTATTTTCTTCTTTTTTTCCTCTTTTTTTTCATTTATTTTTTCATTTTTTTACTCGTCTTTTTTCTCGTCTTTTTACTAGTCTTTTTTCTCGTCTTTTATATCGTCTTTTTTACTTTTTTTTCAGAAGGAAACTCCTCCTTATTTTTTTTAAATTATTCTAATATTTCGTCTATTATTTTTTATTATTATCCAGGAGTAATATTATGATTTTCTTTATTTTCATTGCTTTTTTTTACTCTAAATCATCTTTATATAATTTGTTTCCCAGAACACATGTTTAATCTGTATATAATACACTTTTTGAAGATTTTCGGAAGAGCTTTATATTATTTTCATTAAAAAAATCTTGGCTTTATTAATATTCTTCATATTTATTCTAAAGTAAATTATATAATGATGAAAATAACATTTCTATTTCTTTTATTTTCTTTAATGTTTAAATAATTAATTTAGATTCAATTTGTAAATTTTTAAAAAAATCCAAAGCCTTTTCTTCTAAATCACAACATTCTATTTCAAAAATGCTTTTTTTTCGATTAATTTAAATACTTTTATAAGACAATAACATTTTTTTTTTATATATATATATTAAAATTAAATTCTTATTTTAATATTAATAAATTATGATATATAAAAAAACTTTTTTTTTTTTTAAAAAAAAAAAAAAAAATTAAATAAGAATTTTGAATATTTTTTTTGTATTTAAATTATAAATTAATTTAAATTATTTAAATTTAATATAAAAAGAATTATCATAAAAAATAAAAATATAAAATAATTAATATATCATATAGGTTTTATATATATTTATTTTATCCTATCTTACTATAATTCTCGAAATAGCCAGCGTAGCTCAGTTGGTTAGAGCGCGAGTCTCATAATCTCGAGGCCGAGGGTTCGAGCCCCTCCGCCGGCATTTTTTTTTATTATAAAAATAAAAAATTATATATTTAATTTTTAATTAAAAAAGAAAAAATATATAATAAATTGGGTATTTTTATTAAAAATATAAATATATATATATATATATATATATATATAATTAAAATATATATTCATTTTTCTATTTTATATTCTAAATAATTATTATTTATTATATTTAAATTTTTTTATTTTTAGGAAGTTTTTGCTTTTAAATTAACTTTGTATTTTTTCGTTATTTTATGCATTAATTATAAATCAGTTGTTAATTACTTTACACTATTTTAATTTTGAATTTTTTATTATTTAATAATAGAATTTTATATAGATTATTAACAAATTCCAACCTTAGATTTTTATTATTATTCTAAATTAATAACAGAAATAGATTTTTTTCTTTTTTCAAAATTATTAATTTAATTATTAATTAATTTTGTTTCCTAACAATTTGAATTTATAAATCTAGCACTTTCTACATTTACATCATTTTCAGTTTTTACCATATCGTTTATTTATTTTTATAATCCAAATGATTCTCTAAGTAATAATTAAGAACTTTTTTATTTTTCTTTTTAAAATTATAAAGAATCGGTTGTTTAAGTACTTATTTTGAATGTTTTTAGACTATTTTCATTATATTATTCATCTTTTTTTTATATATTTATAGAAAATAAAGGAGTTTTGGTAATTGTAGACATTAAAATTTAAAGAATTGATATAAACAAATATTAATATTTTTGATTTTGGACAAGTTTTATAAAATAATTCTCATTAATAAATTTTTCTCGAAATATATTTAAGTGATATTTATCGTTTTTAATAATTTAAAAATACTAATTTTATAAAAAAATTATTTCTTCAATATTTTTTGAACCTTCTTTTATTTTCTAAAGGTCAGTTTCATCTGAAAATATACTCGAATCACTACTTGAAGGCGATTTTTTACACATTTTATGATAATTTAATTTATTATTCAGTTAATTTATAGTATCATATTGTTATAATTATTTCTATATATATATTTTTATGTATATATATATATATATATATATATATAGTAAATATACTTTTAATGTATTTATTTATATAGTCATATTTTATATTAATGTAATGTAATATTTTTCATTAAAATTAATATTTTTTGAAGAATCATTAGAAATGTCTTTTTTTATATTATATAATATAAATAAAAAATTTACTAGTATTTTTCGTTAAATTGGAAAAATTTGTTAATAACTTTTTCTTTTTATTATATTAACAAAATTAAATATTTAAAAAAGGTATTATATTATATACTTATTAAACTTAATGATTTATATAATTGTAAAAGTTTTAGGTATTAATCATTTTTTTTTGTTATAAATAAGTAAATTATATATAAAAAAAATTTATTTAATTAATTTAAAAAATAACTATATAACTATATTATATATAAAATTTAATTTCTATATTTACAACAATAAAAATACTTAAGTACTTTAATTTCTTTTTATATCTAAATAAAATAAATTTCTTAATTATTTTTTATTATAAAAAATAAGAAAAAAGCCCATGTATTTTTATTAATTATTATCCTATACATAATTATTCTTATTCTTTTATATACTTCCTGATTTAATATACCTATAATACTCAAAAATTACCTATTTATTCCCATAAGACTACTAAAAATAGATATATTTGCCTTTTTTAACAAATTTAATGACATATTATTCATTTTCGTTTTTATATATGTTAATATATAAAGGCAAATACTAATTTTTTGAAAAATATAAAATCTAAAAGGATAAAAAATGGCCTTGGGAAGACCCTAAAAATACTAATATATGGAAATAAACATTAAAAAAACATTAATGAATAATTTTGTGAATATTTTTGTGATATAATTTGGATTTTTACATATAGAAACTTTACTAAATGGTGTTCAAGTAGAAACAGACTAAATGTTTTTCCCTTCAAAAACCGAAAATTTCCTAAGCATATTAATTCTCTTATTTTTCCATGATTTTTGCTTTTATTTCATCCACCGTTTCCAACACTAAAAGCCCATTTATTAATATATACATAAAATACACCACTAATATTACCAAAATGTATGTATTGCAGGTCAATATTTTCATCCTATAGATTATATAATAACTATACTAGCACCAACATATATAATGTTTAAGTTTTTGAAAAAAAATTGCATATAATTAGCCTTTGTATGTGGGTTTTTATCATGAGTATCAATTCTATAGACGAACATTCGGGTTATGAATTCCCTTGGAGTCCTTTTAATTTGACCAAATATAATGTTTCTGCTGAATTCCATGAATTTCACCATTTTAGTAATACTGGCGCTTTTGGATCTATTTTTAATTTTTACGATAAACTTTTTAAAACAGATTTAGAATTTAATAAATTTAAAAAAAAAAAATGAATTAAAAAATTTTCTAATATATATTATTTATTTTTTTCCAAAAAAAATAAAAAAAAAAACTATTAAATAAATATTTTTTTGTTTTGTTTTTTTTTTTTAAAAAAATAAAAAAAAAAAATATAATTTATTTTATGATAATCCCAATAAAAACTAAACTAGAAACCTACGAAAAAAAACTCTTTTACACAATCTTATTTATTCTCGAAAAAAGCTATTTTAATCAATTTCTAAAAATCTTCTCGATATTCATCTAAACCTATTAAATAATATATATATTGTCCAAATCTCCACATTCAGAGTGGCTTTATTCTCATTCATAAGGCCAATATGTAGGAAAAGCTTCATAATATATAATGTTTAGTCCGTATTTCTAAAATAATGCATAGAATTACAATATAGCCTTTATTTCAGTAACTATAATAAATATATTTATGATTTCATAGTTTTTTTTGCTTTCTATAATATAAGAACCTGGTAAAAAATATAATTATCCCATATTTTATTCCATTTAAGCTATATTTATTAATATTCTAACAGAAATACTATACCTTCCTATATAAGATTTACTCTTAACAAGCATAAACTGTAGTTAAAATGCGGAAAATACACTAATAAATAATTTTAATTAAAAGCAGTGTTTTTCTCCTTAAAATATACTGCAAATTTCAATTGGTATTTTTACTTTTTTTGTGCTTTTTTTTCACCAAATTTTAACCAAGTAAATTTTCTTCGAAATAAAGCTTGAAAAAACCAAAAAAATCAGTAAAATTTCCGGAAAATACGAAACACTAATTTCCTATTTTCAGACATTATTGGCCTTTAAATCTAATATTTTCAACTAAAAAATTCAAAGCATTATTTTCTCTTTTATCCTCCTTATATTCTCCCTGTATATACATTATTATAACCTCTCCTATATAGACGAAAATGATCTCGTAATGCATAAAATCTCCAAAATTTAAATCTAAACCATAATTTCATCCCTAATCTCTCTTTTAATCTACTATACGGGCATATTTACTTCTTCTTCGATTTTTATATTATATATAACCACCCTTATAGGCTTTTTAATCTTGAATATTTTCCAATAAGAAATTTCCTATACTCTATTATCGAAGAAATCTTCCGAATACCAAAACGCAGATGAGGCTTTTTAACAGTTAAGGACAGTATACCTAGCTTTGTAAGACTATGAAAAGAACACTATTATATTAAATGGGTTTTATAATTAACATTTAAAGGATTGTCCAAAAATATTGTGTCCTTCGAGAGCTCCTAAATCTCAAATTTTATAATTTAAAAAAAGCCTAAATATTTAAAGTGAAAATGAACTATAAATTCTGCTTTATTTTATAATCTCGATTATATTTTAAAATAATATAATATAATTTCGAAATGATTAAAAATTAAAAATTTTCTATTGTTTATTTCTCTTAGACTGTTTGTAAATTAAAGACTAGATATAATAATGGATATCTTTTGTAGATTTATAAAGTGCTTCTTTTTTTTAGAGATTTTAACTTTTTTATATTTAAAATTAACTAGAATTTTCCGAGGAAAAAAACTCTACTTTATTAGATTTTTCATAATAAATATAAACTGTAGAAAAAAAAAGTTTCTTTTTGAAGTAAAATTTCCTCTAATCCGCTTAAAATTTTCTCTCTTTCTGGTCTGAATTGGCTGAATAAATCCCCAATTCTTCCCTTCTTTTTGCTTCTGCTAAAAAAATACTCGCCTCCTCAACAATTTGTGAATAAGAATTCCAAAAACTCAAAAAATCTTAACAACTTTCTCCCGAAATAGTCCGTCTATACTTTTTATATACCATCCAAATACACGAAAAATAGTCTAATAATATCGAATTTCCTGCCCAAATTGACGAAAACTAAAGCTATCTAGTAAAAAAGGACAAAAAAATTCAAGAAACAATCCCAAATGTTAATTTTACGAGCGCAAATATCCGTATAACAGCCGAAGATTCAAACTTAGGTCTCATATAAAGCCTAAACATGGAAGTTTTAAGGATCTTAAGCATATCTTCTCAATCTAAACTACTAAACTCGAATATATCTAACATAATGCCGAATATATACGGGAAATAACACAATAGTTTCATCTAAAATTACCTAAATACACAGGCAGAAAAAATATTGAATTCCACTCAAGACTTTTTTATAAAAACTTCATCCGACTTAATTATTGGAATTAAATTAAAAGTGAAAAATCTGTACGGATTTACTAGTGGAAGTGTATTTTTGGGTACTTTTTATATCAAAAGCAGTCTTTTTTAGAATTAAATTTACATTTTAGTGGATAAAGAGGGTATTATAGATAGTTTTACGGGAAATGCCATATCTTGTTTAAGAATAAACTCAAGGAAAATTAAAAAAAAGGAAGTTTCTATTGATAAATATATACCGAATTTTTTCAGATAATTAAAGGATTTCAAAAGTAGTTCAGGAAAAATAATTTAATTTGAAAAATAATATGGAAAAGTTAACGTGTCTGATATTTTTTTTCTCGGGAAAAATTAAGGCTTTATTATAGAAATTAAAATGGAATAAAATCTCTAGTCTAAAACTTTTAATTAGATTTAAAAATAGGAAAATTCTTAAATTTCAACTTATAATAAATAACGTATTTCTTTGACTCCTTAAAATATAAATGCATAGACATTATTTTTTTACTTTGATTTATAATTTCTATAGTACAGAGCATTTTTTAAAACAGAAAATAAAATACAAAATAAAAATAATAATAATAATGAAAACTTTATTTTTCTAGAAAAAAATGATACGGATTTCGAAAAAGGAATACAATAAATGGAAAAATATATAGACGAATGGATTAAAAATTACAAAGAAAAAGATGAAAATTGCGAAAAAAATAATTTATATACAATAAGTGAAAAAAATTAAATTAAATACGATAAAAATATACGAACAATGATGCTTTACTAAAACAAAATCTACGATTAAATGGATTTGTAAAAAATGATGGAAAACGAAGAAGATTTATTAGATAATGATAAAGATAAAGAATAAGCAAATATATAAGATTAAAATGCATTAATTGAGAGTAATGACCATTAGTAAATAAATAAAGTATAAACACATATATATATATATATATATATATATATATATATATATATATATATATATATATATATATATATATATATATATCCTATATCCTATATCCTTTATATTTTTATATTAGATTTTAAGTGATAAATAATTATTTTAAGAATTTTTAAGCAATAAAAAATATGATATAAATTAGGATATTATATTTTATTTAAAAAATTTTGTAATTATACTTTTATCTATAATAGTATTGTATATATTATTTGATTTCTTTTACTATGGTATTTAAATTTCTAATACTGTAATTTCATATGACTATTTAAACACTTCTTTTTTATTTATTTCTAATTTATAACATATAGTTTCTTTGTTACATATTATGAGATGTTTAAACGAGGGTTTTTTTTATCAAAAATAGTCTATATAAGATCCTGAGAGAACTACAATACATGAGAAATTAAAAAAGATACAATTTTTTTTAAACTGACACTGATTATCTGATTAATAAAATTTATTCAAATCAAATCGGCGTAAGTACATTAATGAAAAACATTTTTTCTGAACAAAAATAGATATCTCTTTCTCTAAAAACCACCGACTAATAGATAATTGAATACAAAGAAAATTTATATTAAGGCACCTAATAAGTACTAACTAAATTAAATCATCTAAGAGAAGTATAAATGGGTTCTTTGACTGAATAAGACTTTGACTTTTACTAAATAACATATAATTTTCAAAATCCCATATTATAAAAATAACAAGAGTATATAATCGAGCAATAAACACAAATTAACACTGATTTAAAAAGAAACTTTTCAAATCAATAACTAATCATGTTTTTAGGATTTGTATTAATAACTATTACTATAACCTTTAAATTAATACTATATATGATTTTATTGAGAAAATCTTTCCAAATAATTAGCCTATTATCTACTATATAATAAAACGATATAAAATAAAATATACATAACTGTGATAATTTCATTTCTAAACTCACTAATTTCGAAGAGGAAAACGAAAAATCGGAAAACTCAGATTAAAATCTATTAAATGATAAAAAATCTAACAAAGAATCCGAAATGTATTAAAAAAATTCCTTTCAAAAATTCAATATGTAGGTTAATAGGTAAATTTTGCATTAATTTTTTAAGTTTTGGTGGATTTTCCCTTATTTTTTATTACTATCTTTGTCTTGCTTATATACTGGATTATCCTATTCTTTTAGTTTTCAGTATTTATTGACAATGGAAAATTTATAAAATGAATCTCAAATCATCTTCTCATTAGAGTCTCAATTTAAAATTATGTAAAACCTTCTTATGGATAATATTTTATTTGGTAAAAAATAAATAAATATTGATTTTTTGAAAAAATAAATCGAATAAATGTATGAAAATATTAATCTTTTGGAAAAAATCACTATAATAATATAAATGACCTTCCAAATGATTATAAAGCTTTTTTTTAGCAACTTTTTTCATAAAATAAAATTTGCGAGTTATAAGGTTTTAATAATGATGACGATTTTGAGGCTTGTTAAAATAAATTCGATAAAATTCTTACTTAAGGCATGAATGTTATATTAGTTAAATTAATCGAAAACATTATTTATTTTTTGAATTAAAATAACTTTCCATATGGAAGTTAAAATAAGTATGAATTTGCGACTTCTTAATAAATGTACTAAATTAATTATTTTATATAAAAAATAAGGGTTTCATTTAGAAATCTTAACGAATAATTTATTAATGGATTATATTCATTTTCCGATAAATTTATATCTATTGAGGATTACACTTTTAATTTCTATTATTTTCCTATCATTTTTCATCTGCTTTTTTTTCTATATACCTATTATTAATAATATTGAGTAAGAACTAAATTAATAAAAACAAATCCTTTTATTTATTCCTTTACAATAATTATCCAAAAACTATGCAATTAGACAATATATATTAAAATGTATAAGATAAAGTAAAATAGATAAATGAAATATAATATATATATTTATTTATATATATATATATATATATAAATATTTTTTATTTTATTCATAATTTCGAGAAATAAAAATCTGGAAAAAGAATATTTTGATTCCTAAATTCTTACATAGAAAAGACCCTAGTTATATTTTCTTAATTTTCTCTTATTTTTTTTATTTCTTCATTTTCTTTTTCATGATTTTAAGCAACTAAATGTATTTCTAATCTCTTTTTATTTTAGAAAAATGTTTCTTAAAATTAATTTTAAATATCTTCTAAACTAATAAATTCAAGTTCATCTATCAATCTATTTTCTATAATATTAATAAAAATATATAATATATATAAATATAAATATTTTTTATATACTTCTATCAAAAACATATTTATTTTCTACAATTTCATTCCAAAATCTTTATTTTTCATCAAAAATACTACAGTCTTTTTATTTAATTTTATTTAAAAAACTCTTTTTATAACTATCAAATTCAACTTCATTTAACTATTTTAATTTTTCCGAAAACTCATTTAAAAAGTTATCTACTCTTTAACTAATAAACATAGGACTTCTTACATTCGATTAAACAGTAATCTAAAAAGAAATAACTCCTCTAAAAATCTACCATGAATTTCCTACAATATATCCTAATTATTCATCAGTTCTTAATTTTTCAAAACAAGGAACTCTCATAATAATTTAAATTAAATCACAAATAATTATGTTCCTAATATTTTCCTCCTTATATTACCAATAAACTTAAAAACAACTATTGGTTTCTTCCTTATTTAATTTTTTTTCATAAAAATAAGTTTTTCCTTGTACTAATTTTACTGCTCGAATTAAAAATACGTCTTTTTCATCCAAAATATTCCCTTAAAATTACTTTTAGCATTCCAAAATGCTCTAAACGACTTTTTCCTTTTATAAATTTCCAATAGCCAGCCATTTAAATCTAACAGATTCAAAAATATTCTTTTAGAACTCCAAAAACTTCTCAAATGAAACGTCCTAAACTAAAGTTTATTCGAATTCATCTGGATTAATCCCATTAGTTTGCAAGAACCCTTAAGCAAACTGTCCTATTAATAAATAAGGCTATGCTTTTTATATATTCTAATAAGATTTGAGTAATTTCTAATATTAAATATTGAACTTTTCCTTATCCAAACATTAAAACTAGGCTACTTTTTCACATAAACTGATTAAAAAAGCTTCCAAGCAATCATTATAACCACCAACATTTATACTAATGGAACAGTTTAGTAGTCTACAGAGCATCCCAAATATGCCATTTCTGCATTATACCTAAAAGTCCTCAAATTGTCATTTAGAAGCATAATATATAGCGCAAAAAAGACACTTCTTTAAACAGGTCTTTAAATATTTTCCTTTAAAAGAATTCTCCCAGAAATAACTGCTTTCGGTTTTTTAAACAAAAAATCTTCCTTAAACCAAATTTCACTTTATTTGTTTTTAATAACATTCAAAGGAATATTATTTTCCCTATTTTAAATTTAAAAAAGGTTCATATTTTTCGGTAAAAACTAATTTTTTTCTAAAAACTACATATTTATATTAAAATTATTCTCATTAAAAAAATTTCTTAAATAATCAGGTAAATATTATATAGTATATTTAGTATTATAAACAGGTTCTTATAAAATACATTCATTTTTAAAATTTTATGAAATAACTTAAATCCTCATATTTTCAATATTTAAATTATCTACAGTTTTCTAAAAAACCTCTTCTTCGAATTTCTCATTTAAATAAGGTTAGATTAAGACATCTTCAATAGGCTAATTTTACATTCTCGAGGAAAGTACTTATAGATAATTTTAAGGTTTTTCCTTATCTTTATTTTCGAAGTTTAATTCCGACAATAATTTCTTTTCTTCGAAAACCCATTTTTAAATTCCTTTATTTTTCACCATTTTGACATATTCAAACACTATTTTTAACACTTCCTCGTATTTTTCGACTCCTTAATCACTTAAATCTATATTAATTTACAAAAACGAAAACGACCCGACCTCATTTCCATTACTACACGAAATTTCACTTGCCAAATGCAAATCTGAAAGAATTTATAATAAAGACCCTTTCCCTTCATGTCCAAAAACATGTGATAGGTAATTCAAAGGATTATTTTTATAAAGGCCCTACATATTATCTAAAATCCATTTAATTTAAAGACAATGATTATTTTAAACGGGTACAATTTTCCATATATTTCCATTTAAATTTTCCTTATTAAAGCTTTCACAACTAAATTTTTTCAAGCCTTCTAAGTCTTTATTTTTAACGCTTTCGAATTTATCCTAAACCCATTTTTCCATAATATCTAGTTCTGAGTTAGAATACACTACTAACTTCATTAAATTCGCAGAGTAATTTTTCTCGTAAAATTCAATTAATTCTTCCCTTATTTTTTCCTTATTTAAACTCATTAAATTCCCAGTCCCGAATTTTCTATACTCAGAATTTTCTAGACTCGAAAATCTAAACAATTAATGCATTCTCCAATTGTCCTAGTTTAAATTTTTCTAATGTTCACTATCTACTGCCTTCATTTCACGCTCTACACAAGATTCAAAAAACAAAGGACTTATAAAAAATTAACTAAATCTATCTAAAGCACCCTCTATTGAATTACAGGAGCTTGTAAAATAATAATTAGTCTCGTTTCCACTAGTATATGCATTAGAAAAACCGCTATTTTTCTATAAATAATCGCTATATTCACTCTAATTAGGGTATTTTTAAGTACCCATAAATAACATATGTTCAAGAAAATGGGCTAAACCGGGAGTTTCTGCAGGATCTTGGTAAAAGCCTGCTTTTACGTTTAAGGCTGCACCAGATTTTTCAGTATCATGGTCGTAAATTAATAAACATTGCATTTTATTTTTTAAAAGAAGTTCTTTATATAAACGAAGATCATTAGAACTTTTTTTTATGATTTTTTACTANGGTTTTATATTTTNTTTTAAAAATACTATATATATATATATATATATATATATATATATATATATATATATATATATATATATATATATATATATATATTTATTTTAAAACAATAGGGTTTCAGAAATTAAAAATTAAATATATATATTTTGAATTTAACAAAAAAATCATTTTCCATAATATTATGGTTTTCTCTTTTCCATAAAAGCATATAAACCTTCCATTCTATCTTCACTATGTGCAATTTTTGAATATTACATTTTTTCAATCTACAATCCTTTTTTATTATAAATTAGATTAAATTAATAAAGATATATATATATATATATATAAATATATATATATATATATATATATATATATATATTTATATATATATATTTATTAAATTATATATATATATTCATATAAATATATATAAATACCTGTTTATAAATCTACTTCATATCCATAATTAATTGATTATTTAGCTGCTTTTATAGCAATAGGCCCCTAAAAAATTTTTATTATTATAAATTTTTATATAAATGACGTTTTTCAATATTTTTTCAGCAATCTATAATCCCTTACTATAACAATTTTCATAAGAATCTTCTACATAATTTAAAATTCCTAAATTTTTAGCTTCTTCAGCAGTTAATCTATCTCCTGTAAAAATAAGTTCCTTAGCTTTGGCTATGCCAATAATTCTACTTAATTTCTAAGTACCACCTGCTCCAGGAATAATAGCTAAACCAGTTTCAGGAAGACCTAAAATACTATTTTTTGTACCTATTCTTATATCACATGAAATACCTAAAAGATTTTATTATAAAAAAAAAATTAAAGATTTATAAATATTGTATAAATATAGAGTCTATATACTATAAAATAATTATATATAAAATATATAAATAAATTTATATATTTATATATTTATATATTTATATATTTATATATTTATATATTGTTTTATATGTATTTAACCTAATTCTAAACCACCACCTAAAGCATGTCCGTCAATACAAGCAATAGTAGGAATTGGTATGTTATATAATTAATCAAATGTATTCCTTAAATTTTAAACAAAATTTTCAGATTATATACTTGTAAGAGAAAATCTTTCCTGTTCATATTTATATATATAAAAGCAAATTATATATAAAAATTAGAATATGAATAAAATATATAAACATATATTAATATTAATGTAAAATTAAAAAATTAAAAAATATTTAAAAAATAATCTAAAAATATATAAATATATACATAAAAAAATTAAAGATATAACTATTTAAAAATATATAAATATAATTTTTAAATAAAATATAAATATATATATATTTATATAAATCTATATATATATAATATATACATTTATATATATATATATATATATAAATATTATTATTTTATTATTATTTATTAACTTTTAAATCAGCTCCTGCAAC